TGATGTTTTTCCAAGTAATTCTTAATGCAGTTCAGTTCAGTAGCTCAGTCGTCTCCGACTCTTTGCGACCCCATGAATCACAGCACTCCAGGCCTCCCTGCCCATCACCAGCTCCCGGAGTTTACTCAAACTCCTGTTCATTGGGNCTGTCACACAAATTACAGCATAATACTCTTAACAGGAATAATAGCACTCTTGGTTCCTATCAGGGATATGGGTAGAGAATAAGACAAACCTTTTCAGAAGTTCTTCACTCGCTAAGTCATGTCTAATTCTGCAACACCATGGAGTGCAACAGAGCAGGCTTCCCTGTTCTTCACTATCTCCTGGAGTTTGCTCAAACTCATGTCCACTGAATCAGTGATGCCATCCAACCATCTCATCCTCTGTTGCCTCCTTCTCCTCATACCTTCAATCTTTCCCAGAGTCAGGGTTGTTTCTAATGACTCAGCTTTTCCCATCAGGTGGCCAAAGTACTGGAGCTCCAGCTTCAGCATCAGGCATCAGTTCTTCCAGTGAATATTCAGGGTTGATTTCCTTTAGGATCGACTGGTTTGCTCTCCTTGCTGTCCAAGGGACACTCAAGAGTCTTCTCCAGCACCACAATTAAAAAGCATCAAATTCTTCAGCACTCAGCCTTCTTTCTGGTCCAGCTCTCACATCCATAAATGACTACTAGAAAAACCATTGCTTTGACTATACACAGACCTTTGTCAGCAAAGTTACATCTCTGTTTTTTAATATGCTGTCAAGGTTTGTCACAGCTTTTCTTCCAAGCAGCAAGTGACTTTCAATTTCATAGCTGCAGTCACCATCTGCAGTGATTATGGAGCCCAAGAAAATAAAATCTGCCACTGTTTCCACGTTTTCCCCTTCTTTTTGCCATGAAGTGATGGGACTGGATGCCATGTTCTTAGCGTTTTGAATGCTGACTTTTAAGCCAACTTTATCACTCTCCTCTTTCACCTTTATCAAGAGGTTCTTTAGTTCCTCTTCGCTTTCTGACAATAGGGTAGTTTCATCTGTATATTTGAGGCTGTTGATATCTCTCCCAGCAATCTTGATTCCAGCTTGTGCTTCATCCAGCCAGGTATTTTGCATGATGTACACCGCATAGAAGTTAAATAAACAGGGTTACAATATACAGCCTTGACGTACTCCTTTCCCAACTTTCAACCAGTCTGCTGTTCCACGTCCAGTTCAAACTGTTGTTTCTTGATCTGCATACAAGTTTCTCAGGAGGCAGGTAAAGCGGTCTGGTATTCCCATCTCTTTAAGAATTTTCCACAATTTGTTGTGATCCACACAGTCAAAGGCTTTAGCGTAGCCAATGAAGCAGAAGTAGATGTTTTTCTGGAATTCTCTTGCCTTTGCTCTGATCCAACAGATGTTGGCAATTTAACCTCTAGTTCCTCTGCCTTTTCTAAATTAAGCTTGAACATTTGGTAGTTTTCAGTTCATGTACTGTTTTAGCCTAGCTTGAAGGATTTTGAGCATTTCTTTGCTGACATAGGAAATGAGTGCACTTGTGTGGTAGTTTGAACATTCTTTGGGATTAAAATGAAAACTGACCTTTTTCAGTCCTGTGGCCACTGCTGAGTTTTACAAATTATCTGGCATATTTAGTGCAGTACTTTAACTGCATCATCTTTTAGGATACTTAATAAAATAATCAAGTATGGATATTGTTGAAAGAGTAATCCCCAACATAAATATACAGACACAAGCCTCTAAAGGTGTACATGCATGTGTGTGTGTGTGCGCACATGTCAAGTAATCTCTGATCCTGACTGTAATCTCCCAAGGAGATTCTGTCAGCATTGCTTTTTTTGGTAGATTTCCATTTGACATTTAAGAGGTAGTTAATTGTTTTGTGTTTTCTTTGCCATCCTCAGCATTTCTTTGCTCAGTACATTCCTTCTTGTTAAGAAAACTTCATATGTTTGAGTGAGCTGAATTCTCAAACCAGCTTTTCAGTGGAGCCCTGGGCATCATTTTTCATGTTGCTTTACTAAAATGTTATTTTTGCTATAGATTACAGTTTAGCAAAATATAAAGTGTGCTGCTGTTATAAACTATTTCTACCTCATTCATTGCAAGTTTTACCAAGACTGCTTATCTGGCTGTTAACTTACTCTAATTGGGTTTTTTTTTTTTTACATTTGTAGAGTTTTAAAGTAGTCAACTGCTACACATGATGAAATTACGTATTTCTGTAAGAAAAAAGGGAGGTTTTTTAACTTGGTGAAATTTGTCCAAATGCCATTTGTAGGTTGGGCGATTAGTATAGCCTTGGACCTTAGACCTTGAACAGGGCTTCCTAGGTGGTGCGGTTGGTAAAGAACACACCTGCCAGTGCAGGAGACACAAGAGATGGGGGTTCGATCCCTGAGTCGAGAAGATTCCCTGGAGTAGGAAATGGCAACGCAGTCCAGTATTTTTGCCTGAAAAATCCCATGGACAGCAGAGCCTGGTGGGCTATAAGCCATGGAGTTGTAGTGTCAGATACGGCTGAACTCACACACATGTGTGTGTTTAGACTATGAGCCCAATTTCCTCAGGGTCTGATTTCCTCCTTTTTTTTTTTTTAATTGATATATGCTTTGATCTTCCTGGCACAGTGTCACACAACAGAGGGATTTAAGTGTTCAAAAGCCCTAAATGCCTTGAAATATTAGAACACTGTTGCTTAGAGTTGCTTTCACCCAGTCTACCAAAAGAAAACATTGTGATGGCCGTGATCTCACCTTGTATCAAACAACTTGAGAAATGATAGCATTAGAGAGGAAAAGCAGTGTCTACTTTGAGTCCTGCAGACCAAGTCAGTGAACATCTCAGATAATGCCAAGGCTGGTAATAATTGTAAATCTCCATCACTGTGTTTCCTTCCTCCTTACACATCCATTCCCTTAAACAAAATTATTTCTTTGTGTGTTTTCCATATTTTAATTTATTGAAGTCTGCTTCCACAGTGGAGAACTTAGCCTTTTAAGTCTTGACTGTCTCCCTGGGCTCGTCTCCATGCATGGCTGAGTCTAGGAACAGATGCAGCGCTGAAAGCATACAACTGCAGGTATGCCTTCCACTACGGGTGTTGACGCCCTGCGCGGTAAGGCAGACACCTTCCGAGTTAAGTCAGCAGTACCTCGCCAAATCCCATGTCCCCTAAGGCCAGGGAGCTCTTCTTCCAAACATTTCATCCTCTGAGGAAGAGAATTTTCACATGGAAAAGCAGACGATACTGATCAATGGAAATTGAACCTCAGGGTGGATAGCTTTATCTTTTAAGTAGCTTGTTGCTATAATTAAGCTTAGAACTCTTAGTCTGGGGAAATCACATGCTACAGAATAATTCTTAATATTAATATTGCTTGTGTTTGTTATTATGTTAATATTGAGTGAGTTTTCTGTGCTGTTGTCCTAAGTATCAATATTTTATCTACATTAACCCATTCAATACTCCCAACANTGTTTGTTATTATGTTAATATTGAGTGAGTTTTCTGTGCTGTTGTCCTAAGTATCAATATTTTATCTACATTAACCCATTCAATACTCCCAACAACTGTAAACTATTCAAAGTTCCCAACAACATGCTGTAGGTACAGATCCCCCTTTTATAGAAGAAACTGAGGCAGACAGAATTTAAGTCATTAGCTCTTGGTGACAGTATGTAAGTAAGTAACAGAAACTGGACTCAAGGCCAGCTTTTGAGTCCGTAGAGAACTGAAAGAATTTTTGAATGAAATTGCCAAATTATTGTCGGTGATGTTTGAGAAACTGTGGGAAACTGTTTACACAACAGAAGTCTAGACATAAGGAAATACTGTTCACATTTTTGTTTAGTATTTTGCTGATGAAAAATACCAAATGCTATTAAATGTTTTATCAGTTACTTGGGAGAGAGAGAGAAGTTAGGTTTATCAAATTTTCCAAAAATACCTTTTTATGAATTTCAGCTGATTGTAAGTAAGCTCGATATGAGTTAAAGGAAAATGCAGCACTCTTTTTGTGTGTGATACTCCCTGCCCCCCACCCTAGGAGATTTTAGGCTCCACACAAGGAGCATGGCTTCTAGAACCTGAGAGTTGATCATTCTCTCTAGACAGGTCAGGCAACTCTGTAGCATTTATAACGTTTGGTTCTGAGTCCCACATTTCAAGGGAAATAGACAATTGGAATGTTTTTGTTGGTGAACTATGAAAATTATAAAATGGCTCAGTTGTTTTATTTGAAGAATAGTTGAAAATCTGGGAATATTTAGCCCAAAAAAGAGAAGAGCTCAAGGAAGACAGAAGAGAGATTTTTAGTATTTGAAATACTGACACATGTGAGAATGATTGTTAAGTTGGTAGAACCAGGGCCAATGATTAGAAGTCAATGACAACAGATACAGATTGACATAAGATGGTCATATCTTTCTTAGATGGACTAGGCTGTCACAAAAGGTATTGAGTTTCCTTTCACAAGGGCTTCCCAGGTGGCACAGGGGTAAAGAATCTGTCTGCCAATGCAGAAGATTCAAGAGAAGCATCTTGATCCCTGGATTGGGAAATGGAAATGGAAACGCACTCTATCCTGGAAAATTCCATGGATATAGGAGCCCGGCGGGCTACAATCCAAGAGAGTCGAACACCACTGAGCACACACACCTAGCCTAGCTAGCCTTCCTGTCACAAACATTTGTATGCAACCAAATGCTCCTGGGTGTGCAACCCAAGCATAGACCACATGGTTGGGCCAGATGACTAAATTCACTTCCAAATCTGAGTTTCTGTTTCTATCATTCTGTGAATTGATGCAAGACAATCCGCTGGGCTTGTATGTTTAATCAAGTACAGAAATAGTCTGTCATGTCTCAAATGTCTGATGCTGCCAACACTAGCATTAGCCAAATTGATAAAAACAACATGATGAACAACAAAATCATATGTCATTTCAAAATATCTCTGTAGGTATCTAATGAAATGATGGGTGTTTTGTCCTCACCTCTCTTTGCAGATCTGTCTCCTGCTCAAGATAACCATGTGAACGTTGATCTCCCTCCAGTGTCAGAGCAGATTATGCAGACTCTGAGCGAACTTGCCAAGTCTTTCCAGGATATGGCTGACCGCTGCTTGCTGGTCCTACACCTGGAAGTCAGGTATGACTTCTTCAAGTACAAGACTTTGTGATTTAAATGCACGGTGGGTCATAAATCACTCACTTCTTTCCATGGAGTGTCACCATCCATTTTGGCTCTTATTATGGATGTTGTTCTTTTTTGATACTGAAAGTGATTTTTAGTATTATTCAGTCACTGTTAGTTTTTAAGCACATGATGTATTGTGAATATGGTGGATTGGAGTTTGCATGGCCTATGACATCAGAAATGGTCTGGATCAGAATATCTATATGGGTTGGCTAGGCCATCTTAAATAACTTAATTAACTTGACTAATTCAGTTTCCTTCTCTTAAAAATAGAGACAATAATTTCTAACTTAGGGACTTTTTAAATGAAATAATAAGTGCAATGCCTGCCACAGAGTAAGTAGCTTTTTGACTACGGGACTTTATTGCCATTGATATTTTTATTACAGTATTCTGTTAATCAAGAAAGGAATGTACAGATGCAAGAACTATGACCCCTTCCTTTAAGAACTTAAAACCCAACTGAAGGAATTAAGTTCAATCATAATTCAAGAAAATAGTTTCTAGGATGTGATATTGCTGGGCTCTTGTTTCTTCCCCTGAAGTGTAGAATACTATGATTAGTTTGTTATCTATTATCTGTCTAGACTCTATTATCACACCTATGGAAATGGTAGGAAGTAAAGACTAGGAAGTCTCCAATCATTTATTTATTCATTCAATAAATGTTTATTGAGTGTTCTAAGAATTGGGTAACAGCAATGAAAACAACACTCAAGGTCTCTGCTCTCATAGAGCTACATTCTTAATGAGTAAACAGCCCATTAAATACAAAGGAAAATTTCAGATTAGTATAACTAAAAAAAAAGAAAAACAATAGCAGAATGGAATAAAATGGTGCTATCAAATAGAAATATAAAGTGAGCTACACATGTGAACCACATCAGTTCAGTTCAGTCAGTCAGTCAGTCATGTCCGACTCTGCAACACTATGGACCGCAGCACACCAGGCCTCCCTGTCCATCACCAACTCCCAGAGTCCACCCAAACCCATGTCCGTTGAGTCAGTGATGCCATCCAACCATCTCATCCTCTGTCGTCCCCTTCTCCTCCTGCCCTCAATCTTTCCCNTATAAGTTAAGTAAGCAGGGTGACAGTATACAACCTTGACGTACTCCTTTTCCTATGAGACTCAGATTTTGTTCTAAGTGCATCAAAAAGTTATAGGAGAGTTTTAAGCAAGGGAGAGATATTCATTTATTCATTCACTCATTCACATTTTTAGGTCATTCTGGCTGTTGTATGGGGAAAAAAAATTGCAGGGAGAAATATGAATGGAAGCAGAGAGATTAGTTGAGACCAGGTATGAGCACCAGAGTGACAGAGGTGAAGGTGTGGAAAGTGTTGAAAGTGTCACATATTCTAAAGGTAGAGCTGATAACATTTATTAATAGATTGGACTGGGTGTAGAACTGGTGGCAGGTGAGAGAAAGAAAGGACTCCAGGAAAACCACCAGCTTTGGGGCCAGAGCACCTATGTGGATGCTAAGGCTATGGAGTGAGGTGACAAAGTCTGAGGGAGGAGAAACACTGGGGGAGAGGTGGAAATCAAGAATTCCATTTTGGTGACATCTGGTTTGAGATGTTTGTTAGACATCTAGGTACCAATGTCAAATAGACAGCTGGACATACGCTTTTGAAATACCAGAATCAGAAAGTGTACAGTAATATATTTTCTTCTGTATTACCATGAGACATTATTAAAGTTGATAGAGTATTGTCTTTTTGTTTGGAGTCTTTAGTAGACTTGGGTTTTCAAAATGTAAATAGGATTTTGGTTTGTATGTTTGGGCTCCAGTTAGAACTTGGCTAGTCTTGTAGGTGTGCTCAGGCAAAGCTAACTGATAATGTATTGTTGATGTCACTTCTTTTGTATGCTACTTACTTTTTTCATTCTTCACTATCTTGTCCTGTGAATTACTTGATTATTGCTTGTGAAGACCTTTGAGTAGGGTAAGAGAAGTAGCATTGTCGATTTGTAGTCTATTTACTCAGCATTATTTCTATTCTTATTTCTTACATTCAGTTGTTTAGAATTAAAGACTGTTTCTCTATGCTTTCTGATTTTATGATAAATTTTAGATTTGTTTTCTATTTATTTACCAGCTGACAGTGAAATAGATCAGATATTTTCTGTGAATAGATAAATGCAATTGATGAGAAAAAAAAACAAAACAGTAATACCCTGATGCCTCTGTTACCTGGGTTGTGCAGAAAACCATCAAATTAATTACTATCACAGCTCCTAGAATTTATGAATTGCGTGGGTACACAATGTGTTCTTCATTTGGAATTATCAGCTTTTTTGTAGTGTAGTTAATTTAAAGTGTGATATTTTCAAGGCATTTGAGTAAGATCATTTTAATCCTTAACCTCTAACCTGCTTTTTAAAATTTTTGTACATCTTGGCAATAGTATTTTTAATAATGTTAAGCATATTTTAGTCATTATTTAATAATTAACTTTACAAGAAACCATTCAATGCTGTAACATCTATTGCCATATCTCCTTCCTCATTAATTTAAAAATAGAAAAAGGATCATTTTAACACTAAATTACAAACAAAGACTGAGTTTTAGAGTCCTGGGTGCAGAATTATCTTTCCTTGACTGTAAATGAAAACACTAAATATGTTTATTTTTTCCAAATTAAATATTCTTATATCTTCTTTTAACATGGTTTCAACATTCAGGTTGCTTTCCTAAGATTGTGCTCCAGATTGTCTTTGCTCCTTTTTTAAGTATGGTACAAAAAACTAGACAGAGCGCTCCATGTATGGCTCAGATAGTGGATGTTGACATACTTTATTCATTCCTTGTCACAATAACAAGATTTTGTTTGTTTGTACAGTTAATGATAGAAAATGAATAAGGAGAACCTCAAGTAAGTCGTTACTGTAGTAGTCCGATGCCGCAATAGAGGAGATGGCTAAGGGCTCTGGGTACCCACAGTGGGTGACTGTGGAAGAAACTTTTAGCACCTGGGAGGCAGGAATCAGGTGTGCCTCATTCATTGCTCTGGCTCTAGAACCTGTAACAGTCCTGTTTTATAATAAGTGTTCAGTAAACACTTCTGTGACTCTGGAGATTTAGCTGGTTTGAAATCAAACCCAGATAAAATAAGTGCAGGTTCCCCAAACAAAACATGCCAGTCATCAAAGACAGTGAATTGGTTTGGAAATCATAGCCCACCATATGGATTGGGTTGGCCAAAATGTTTGTTTAGGTTTTTCTATAAGCTGTTATGGAAAAACCCAAACGAGCTTTTAGGCCAACCCTATACTTAGGTGGTACAAAGACTGCATGGCCTGACATCATCCTTGTCATCATAATCAGCTAAGGTAAGTTTGTCCCCATTCGGTTGTAAAGGAGAATCAGCTTAGGACCTATGGTCCTGGAGCTGGTACAATGAAGAAGTGGCTGGTTTGGCACTCTCTGGCACTTTTGCCCAAGAAGCCAGAACAGACAGAAAAAGGAGAGAGGAAGGGGGGCGCTATTAATGGCAAAAGCTAGCAGGAAATCTAGAACGACTTCGAATACCAAAAATTTGTCTTATTCCCCTAAATATTTTTACATCCATAGCCCATCTTTTTCTTGAACATTGTTAAAGTTCAAACCAAAAAGTGCTCTCAAAGCCAGTAGATTCTATTTTGAAGGACATGTGACATTTTACCTGTGTCCCTGTAGGTCACATTTAACCACTGAGCAATGCTTTTTTTATACAGTTTGAAGCATAAGACATGTGACAACCCCAAGAGATGAAAGACATGGTGAGACCATTAAAAATGGTTGAGGTTTTTTGGTTTTGGTTTTTTCCCCCTATTTGAACTTTAGAAGAGGAAAATTAACTTGCCGTTTTAGTCTGAGATGCTAAGAATGTCACCTTTTTATCAGCTGATTTCTCTCACCATCAGGAGGGTTCTAAGTGGGTTCAGCAGTAACTGCCTGTCGCTGTTGGGATCCTAAGCATGCACTTTCTGAAAACCAACCATCCTGCTGTGTAATCAGCAATATTTGCAGAAAAAATATTAATGCCAAAGTCATGTTAAGGTCAGCAACAACATGCCAGGATTCCAAAAGAAAAAACCCACTTTTTCTGAACTTGATATTTGCCAATGACTATTTTAAATTCTTTTTCATCTCTGATCATTTGGGGAGAGGAAGATGGTGTCTTAAAATAGTTTTTCTCTCTCCTCTCTGCCATTCACTTCAGTATCTCATGAAAGTGTTAGTCGCTCAGTCGTGTCTGACTCTTTGTGACCCCCACGGACTGTAGCCCACCAGGCTCTTCTGTCCATGGGCTTTTCCAGGCCAGAATACTGGAGTGGGTTTCCATGCCCTTCCCCAAGGGATCTTCCTGACCAAGGAATTGAACCCTGGTCTCCTGCATTGTAGGCAGGTTCTTTACTGTCTGAACCACTAGGGAAGTCCAGCATCTCATAAACACCTCCAATTCATAGTAATTTCCTAAGCAGTCTCTACTTCTAGTTTCTATCATTCTCTACCACTAATTTACTCTTCACACTGTGCCGAATCATCTTGCCAAAACTCATATCTGGTTATATTGTTTCACCTCTTAAAATCCTGTTTAGATGACCTCACTCCTATGCCGACCTGGTCCCTGACTATCTCCCCAAGCTCACCTCATGCCTCTGTCATGTCGTCTCTGTGTACTGAAAGGAACTTCTGGTCACTCCTTAAAACCGTCCTCCATTCACACCCTCATGCCGTTGCACAAGGGTCTTCCCATTGTCTGAGGCGTGCAAGCGTGCTCAGTCACTCAGTCGTGTCCGACTCTTTTCAACCCCGTGGACCATAGCCTGCCAGTCTCGTCTGTCCATGGGATTTTCCCAGCAAGAATACCGGAGTGGGTTGCCATTTCCTTCTCCCGGAGATCTTGTCAACCCAGGGATGGACTCCAGGTCTCCTGCATTGGCAGGCGGATTCTTTACCACTGAGAGACCTGGGAAGCCTCATTGTCTGAGATGGTAATGTCTATAGTTTACTGTAAAAGTATTTTAGCGTTGATGACTTGACTTTATTTTCAACTAAGAGTTACTTAGTTTAAATTTCAACTGTGAAGTAGCAATCAATTTCCCTAGGCATGAATCCCACTCCAGGGTTGGTCAATTTTCATTTTATCAAAAATGTCTCATTCTGGAAGGACTGTAACTGGTGCAGTTATCTGGTATCCTGATCAAAACCATACACTTCAATAATTAGCATATGAATGTCAGAATGAGTTTTTACTGGCAAAATTAATCTTTAGTTTTTAGTAACTGTTAAAGTGATCACCTATCATAAAAACGCACTGATAGTCAAGATATTTGGATTTCCTTAAATGAACAGATTCTAAAAATATAGTACATCCTATGCAAAACTTACTTTAAAATGGATCATACATCTAAGTGTAAAATTTCAAACTGTAAAAATCCTAGGAGAAAATATAGGAAGAAATCTTTGTAACTTTGATTGGGCAAAGTTTTCTTAAAGCTAACCCCTAGAGTATCATCCATAAAGGAAAAAAAATGATTAAATTGAACTTTATCAAAATTTAAAACTGTTCTTTGAAAGACATTGTTAAGATGAAAAGACAAGCCAAAGCTTGGGAAGAAATATTTACAAAATGCATGTCTGGTAACTTGCTATCCTGGTGGCTCAGATGGTAAAAAGTCTGCCTGCGATGCAGGAGACCCACGTGTGATCCCTGGGTCTGGAGGAGGGCATGGCAACCCACTCCAGTATTCTCGCCTGGAGAACTCCATGGACAGAGGAGCCTGGTGGGCTACAGTCCATAGGGTCACAAAGTCATACACAACTGAGTGACTAACACTTTCTTTTCAGCCTATATAAAAAACCCTCAATACTTAATAATAAGAAAATAAACAGCTCAACAAGAAAAATTAGGCAAATGATATGAATACAAAGATGTATGGATGGCAAATAAACATATGAAAATGTATCCAACATCATTAGTTACTGCTGCTGCTAAGTCGCTTCAATCGTGTCCGACTCTGTGCGACTCCGTAGACGGCAGCCCACCAGGCTCTCCCATCCCTGGGATTCTCCAGGCAAGAACACTGGAGTGGGTTGCCATTTCCTTCCCCAGTGCCTGAAAGTGAAAAGTGAAAGTGAAGTCGCTCAGTCATGTCTGATTCTTAGCAACCCCATGGACCGCTGCCTACCAGGCTCGTCCAACCATGGGATCTTCCAGGCAAGAATACTAGAGTGGGGTGCCATTGCCTTCTCCCATTAGTCACTAGTAAAATACAAATTAAAGCCCCAGTGAGACACCACTGTACATCTATTAAAATGACTAAAAAAAAAAAATATTTTTTTAACTGACGACACTTGAGGGCAGTATCCTAGAAGAAATAAGCTAAACAAAGAAAGACCACTACTGCATGGCATCACTCTATGTCAAACCTTTTTTTAGGAAATCACAGAAACAGAATGGAAAAGTGGTGGCTAGAGGATGAGAGAAATAGGAAGTGGTTGGTAAAAGGCTACAAATTTCAGCTGTAAGATAAATAAGGTCTGAGGATCTAATGCAAACCAGGATGACTGCACTTGATAACACTGTACTGTATAATTGAAATTTGCTGACAGAGGAGTACTTAAGTGTTCTCATTTTTTTAAAAAAAGAAAGGATAAATATGTGACATGATGGCTGTATTAATTACCTAGATGAAAGGAATCCTTTCACAGTGTACACATACATCAAGTTGTCATGATGTATACTAAATATCTTATAATCATTTAATTCCAGTTACACCTCCACAAAGCTTAAGTTTTGATAAAAATTTTAAAAAGCTAACAACAAAAAGTGCTGGTGAGAATGCAGAGCGACAGGAACTCGTGTACACTGCTAGTAGGAAAGCAAAATGGCACAGCTCCTTTGGAAAACATTTTGGTGGTTTCTTACAAAATTAAATGTACATTTACCATATGATGCAGGGACAGGAGGAGAAGGGGACGACAGAGGATGAGATGGCTGGATGGCATCACCGACTCGATGGACATGTGTTTGAGTAAACTCCGGGAGTTTGTGATGGATAGGGAGGCCTGGCGTGCTGCGATTCACAGGGTCGCAGAGTCGGACGCGACTGAGCAACTGAACTGAACTGAACTGAACCATACGATGCAGCAATCCTACTTCTAGATATTTACCCAAGAAAAAGAGAAAATTTTATTAACACAAAAACCTATATGTGAGGTGATTAATTCATAATCACTGCAAACAAGAAACAACCCTGATGTCAGCTGGTGATGGTTACATCGTGGCACATTCATGGGTAGGAGGTCACGCAGCAATAACAAGGAATGGACAGCAACATAGATAAATCTCAGATGTTTGAGGCAGACTGAAGGACACTAAACCCCAAAGGCTACATGCTACATAACTGCATTTATATGGCTTTCCAGAAGAGATGAAACTGTGGGGACAGAAAATAGATTTGTAGTTGCAAGAGCCTTGGGGTATAAGCAGGGATTGACTTCAAGGTGGCACAATGGAGTTCTGGAAGTGATGGAATTGTTCTATGATTTGATTATGGTGATGCTTATACAACTGGTTGCATTTGTCAAAACTCATAAAACTGTACACCAGAAAGGTGAATTTACTGTTGTAAACTGTCTGTCACCAAGATGATGATGAAGCCTGTGGTTGCATTATTAGGGATGATGTTCAAGGGTGTGGCCATTTGTTTAGGCATATTCTCATTACCTGATGCCAGCTCCAAGCATAACAGAATCCCGACTCTGGATTATCATCCTGTCTACTTCTAGTGAACCTTTCCTGTCAAGATCAGACAGAATACATAAAACAGTCCCTAAACTTACAGAACAAACCTGTTTGATCTATACCTGCCAGGGGGTGGGGGAGAGATGGGGTGGTTGTATGTTTGTTTTTAGTAAATACCTGTATGTGTGGTAGAACAATCTGGCCTGAAATGTGCTTTCATTGCAGCTTAATAGAAAGGTTATGGAGTAGCCAATCCTTCCCCAGCTCAGACTTCCTTGACAGTTAGTGATATCTACCAAAAAGAACCTAAGAGTTGCGCATGTTCAGACTGACTGATTTCAACATAGGAATGCGCTGTTTCCTCAAGCTCACTCAGATGTGTCTTCTAAGACAAATGTCACCTCCTGTCCTGAACCTTTCCTAATACCCTCTGCACACTCCCGTGACACCCTGGGTTCACGTGCTTCTGAGTAAAACACCATCCTCTTTTGGTTGTTTTTTCTTGGTCGTCCCCATTAAGCCATGGCATCTTTAATGGCACAAACTGTGTCCTGTATTTTCACACCTTCTAACAAATTCACACATGTTCAGTAAGCGTTTTGCTTAAGTAATAGAGTAACAATAATAAATATAATAGTAGTGCTACACCCTGTGCCTTTCTATGTAGTGGTTCCTCAAAACACCCTATGAGGTATGTGTTGTTATCATCCCCATTTCACAGATAAGATAACTGAGGTGTGGCGAGATTAAAAAGTAACTTGCCTAAAGTCACACGGCTAGCAAATGGCAATGGAAACCAAAGCTTCAGAGATCTGTGACCTCTACCTCTCATTTTCACTGCAACAGTATTCCTTGAAAGAGATAATACTTTTCACTCTGTGCAAGCAATCTTGTCACCGGAAAGATTTTTTAGCTTATCTATTCATCACCCCCAATGTGTAGATCAAACAAGGGAGGATCACAGAAGCTGACTTACTCAAGATCACTCAATTTTTCTATAAGATAACTAGGATAGCTTTCTGGTGAATAGGGGAAGGGATACATAAAAATTTAAAGGGCCACTGCTGTCTTAAATATCTGGGTGCTCTGTCACAAGAAGAGGGTTATTTTCATCAGGAAGAATCATTACTAACTTCTTTCCCCGTCCCTCTCTCTTCCAGAGTTCACTGTTTCCACTATCTCATCCCTCTCGCGAAGGAGGGGAACTACGCCATTGTGGCGAATGTGGAAAGTATGGATTATGACCCTCTGGTGGTGAAGCTGAACAAAGATATCAGCGCCATTGAGGAAGCCATGAGTGCCAGCCTCCAGCAGCACAAGTTCCAGTACATATTTGAAGGTCAGACCCTGCCCCTGTCCCTGAGAGTTTGGGAGAGTTTCAAGATAGAAAGAAAGTGTCAATGCCTGACTTCCAATTATACCCCCTTTTTTCTTGTTTTGGTTGGTTTGTACAGACCCCAGGGCCAAAAGTATCTATGATGTCTCACAAAATTGAGCCAATATTACTTAAACTAAGTACAAAGGTACTTAGTGTAAAGGATTGTGGCAGTTTCAAGATAGAAAGAAAGTGTCAATGCCTGACCATGTGTTGCTTTCTGAAATGATTCTGTTCTAGCTAATGCAGGACCCACCCCGCCCCCAAAAAATCCTGTTTTCCCATTAAATTATGTCGTAGTGATGAAGATGTGTTCTGAAAGGGAATATTCCTGAAAGACTTTAGCCAGAACGTATAAGTGATAAAAAAAAGGCTCGTCAGCCCCATGGCTCTGTGTGCTGGGGACTGCAGTCATACTGTCTATCTTAACAGTATAGGACCCATCTAAGAATCACTCTCCTGACCACACAGAATTCCCTTCTGGCTTTTGACACTGGCTCTTCCAAGTCCCACATATCACCATTCACATCCCAGAGTTTTCCTCTCCTTTGGACCAGATACTTCTTGACAGCTAATCCTTCTGGGAAACAATAGAGGTATAGTCCTCAGACACAGAAGAGATTTTAACTTAAAAAAAAAATCATAAATTGGAAATTTCCTATTTAAAAAGCTGGCTATCCCCTGTCATATCACTTTCTAAATTCAAGGGCATGTTATTGAAGTTCCCAAGTGGAGGAGGCGACAGCAGTCTCGGTCTTGATGTGGCAAGGAGAAATATTTTATTATTTTTTTAAGGAGTGTACTTAATCACAGATATTGTTAAAAATTCCTGGTGTATAGTGATAATACAAAGCAGACCAACCTTCATTTGGTTTATTATTATAATTTATCATGCTTAATTATTATATACATTTATTTATGTTATCTGCTTTTTATTCTCTATAACCAGTGCACTTAGGGCAGACCACCTTAGACCACTGCAGAACAAAATTCTACCTGAAATTATGGGCTCAAGGGCATCATAGCAAAAGAACCTACAGAGATTTTTCACATAAATTGTCAAGCTTTAAATGTAAAATCCACGTGTGTGTTTCTGTTCCTTTGAGTGAAAAGCTTTTTACTTCACCTTAGAAGAGTAGCTTATTTGTCATCTTGAAGCAACATTGGGTGAGTGCAGCTAAAGCAGGAGATGATGCCTTCTGTCCTTTTCCTGCATGTATCCTAATCAAGGGAAAACTTGCTTTGAAGACAGAAGGAGCCTTTGAACCTGAAGTTACACCCCGAGACAAAAATAGTAGACTATTCTCAACTAGTCAGACTAACTTGAAATTTCTGGGAAAATATCTTGCCAGAGTCCAACTTTGTAAGAATAAGAGAAGAAGGAGGAAGAGAGGTTTACTTAGTTCCAAGTATTTAGAATTAAAATCTAACTTATAAAAATGGTAACCCACATGTTCCTTGGGTTGTTCTGAACCGACATTCCTCAACTTCATTACCTAAGATAACCTGAAATGGGATCTCCTAGTTTGTTGACATCCTAACCAGCAATTTGTCGAGTTTCACAGACCTTAAGACAGTCCTTTGGCAATGAGAACAAATCACTTAACGACACCCTGAAAACTACACAGGAGTCTTGTGGGAACTCAGCAGTCAGTGTATGATCTGCGTTTCCTTCCACTGTGTTTCTAGTTACGGTCTCTCCCCTTACTCCTTTAGAAATATACCCCATTGTCATTGTTGAGCTATGTTAGCATTAATGCCAAGAGTCCAATTTCCTATTGATTTATTTTTATTTACATAGGTTCCCAATCAACTTTTGAGCCAAAAGTACAACCCCCACCTGTTTTGTAGGAGGAAAAGGAAGCTAAACAGATGATAGTATTTACATGTGGTGTTCTCTGCTTTAAAATAACTCAACAGGAAAAACAAGCTTTATGCAGTAATTTAAAACAATCTAGCATATACTCTTAAGCCTTGGCATGTGGCTTTAGCTGTATATGGCAGTGCAGAAACTGTGGATGTACCAGGTTTTTTAACAGCATAAAGCCTCCCCACTTGTAACTCCTTGGGCGGTATCTAACTACTCCAAAATCATGGTAAGATCAGGTGGTCCATCCATCAGAGCTAAGTTTTCTTTGGTCATTTACAGTTTCTGAGGAGTAGAGAGAGGAATCCTGTGTGTCTGTTTCTTCAAGATGGCATTAATCTGTCTCCTTCCTCACTATCGCCCTGTGCTGATCCCTCAGGCCTGGGACACCTGATCTCCTGCATCCTTATTAATGGGGCCCAGTACTTCCGGCGCATCAGTGAGTCTGGCATCAAGAAAATGTGCAGGAACATTTTTGTCCTGCAGCAGAATTTAACCAACATCACCATGTCACGGGAGGCAGACCTGGACTTCGCAAGGTAAGAGATTGGATTCAGTTTGTGTTCCAAAGCATTCTACCAAATCACTAATAAAAATGGATTCTTAATCATTAAAAAGCTAGTTTAAAACATGAAACAGAAGTGATGGATGTTAATTAAACTTATTGCAATGATCTTTTCACAATATATCCATATATTGAATTATTACACTGTACATCTGAAACTAATATGTCAATTATACCTCAGTTTTAGAAAAGGAAAAAAATGGAACTAACAGATGTCCTTTGGTAATAGAGAAGTAAGTCTGTAAAATTATTGGATGTTTAATGACTCTGAAACAAGTAATTTTTCCTATTGTCTAACTTAAGTTCTTTTACTACAGAACTTCAGTAACTTTGTTTTCTAATTGTAAAAGTAATGTGTGCTCATTGCATAAAATATGTAACATAAAATACAAAGAAGAATATAAACATTACTCATAAACTTTTAATCTAAAAATGTGATATTTGATATACTTTCTCCTGGTTTTTAATGCATGTGCTTTGTGTACAAGTGAGTCTCATTCATGGGCATGTGTATCATTTCTCTTTACAAAATTGTTAATGGGTTTTTTATTCATTTAATTTGTGTTTTCCTATATCATCAGTAACCTTTGAAAACATGGTTTTTCCCATATCCATTAATGTCCCTTGAAAACATTCTTTTTAATACCTGAACAAATGTTTCATGGGGTAAGTCATAATTTATTTATCTGATTATTAATATTTGCAGATTTGTAGACATTGGGATTTTTTTACATTTTCTCTCATTATAAATAAATATGTATTGAATGTATTTTTACATGAATCTATTTCCTTATCTCTTCTGTCTTTCCCAATTGAAATCCATCCCCCCTTCTTCCTTTCTTTGGGGAGAAAATGGTTACACATCACTCTCCATGCTATTCTTTCATGTAACTGAAGGTTATTTTTTAAAAATAGCATTTGGACTTTCTCTTTTCAAGGTTTGCTGATCTCAGTTTTTAGGGTTTCCTTGTAATACTCTTTGTCAAATTTAAGAGTTAATCTTCTCTCTTTATGTGGTCTCAACACTACCCATACCTTTCTTAAGTCAGTGGATCTTTGGGGCTTTAATGAAAACTTTAGAAGTTTTGAAGAGGATGGATGACGATTATGGTGTTGGTGTTTTATTGCTGATTATACCTGGATGAATTTTTCCATGAACCCCTTTATTGCTGGGGAGTATTGTGTTTATAATAGTCCAGCATGCTCCTGCCTATTATTTAGTATTTCTGTGTCTTTTCACTTGACTTTTTGATTCCTGAAGAAGCTTAATAAAATTTGAAATAATTCTTGAGAAATTTCTGGGGATAATAATATGCTGTATCACTTTGACAGTTATTAAGACATCCATGCTAGGATCTTTGTCTTGAAATCACATAGCCATACATCTTCACTTCCACCTTTCTTCTCCAAGCTGTCACTCGTTTGTTCCATTGCTACCCTGTTGTTCTGCTTCTCTGTCCTCCTTCTCTATCATTTTCTTTCTGTTTGAGTGTGTGTGTTCCTTAAATTCCCTATCTTAGGCTAAATTTGGTGGAAAGTGTTCCTTGCTCAGATTAGGGAAACCAGGTGTGACTGAATGCTGCATTTATTTGGCCTCCCTTATGGGGAATGAGCTCATTATTGAATTAGTCTATTCATAATAACATTGAAAATGGAAGTTAAGAACACAGAGGCCTGAGGGATACAGAGAAGCATTACTAATTCTCTGAGGAATATAATTCCTAAATTCAATCACCCTTTTTTAAATGATTTTTTTTAATTTTGCTGTAGTAAGTAAATTAACACAGCTTTTGACAGATACTATGGGGCCTTCACACATACTAAAAACCCTAGCATCTGAATAATGAAATGATGACTGGGCAGTATTGAGGTTGACATTGATGGGCCATGTACCAGCAAAGCATTTCTTCAGCGAAGCCATGCCTATCATGGTTGGATTTGGGAGTGATATCCAAGGAAGTGGTTATAAGCTAAAAGATGACCACTTGGGAGAGGTACTGCTCTTATTACTCTTCATGGATTTTGAGAGGAGATAGGCTAGCCTAAGTATATAGCATTAGATGATTCTGTCGTGATCACAGTTCAGAAAGACACATCTTTACTAGACTTGTAAGCTCCAGGAAGCCCAGATTTTCTGTTTCCTTGGTGTGTAAACCAGAGTAAGTGCTCACTTTCTATACTGGATGAATGACTAGGTGTCAAATCAAGGCTTCTCTTTGTGGTAAGGAGCTTGGATAATGGCAAAGTCTAGTTTATCTTTAACATCCCGAACATTTTAACCAGCTGACGTGAGATCATTTTCTTATAGGCTGTTGAGAAACAGAGCATCTCCTTTGCAATTCGTTCTTTCTAGAAAGTGTTACAAGAAGGAATACTACATCCCTAACTATTCATAGCCTCTTTCTCCTTCATTTTCTCTTGCTCTCCTACATACACATATACTAAACACACTTTATAGCCTTGGTTGGTTTTTTTTTTTTGTTTTTTTTTTTAGTTTTTCTTTTTGTTTTTTCTGTTCTTGATTTTGGTAGGGACAGGTTTTGTGAAATGGGCTCCATCAGTTCTACTGAATGTGAAGGGATGTAAAATAAACATAAGAGTGATACCAAAATAGCCAGAAATAATAGACTGCAACAGTGTGTCTCAGCATTCCTTAAGCAATGTCTAATCAAGCATGGACAACATCTGTATTTCCAGCAAATCTTTCTAGGAATGTTATCTTCTAATGCAGTAATTAATCACTAGTTGCTGTGTGTCAGAAAATGTACTTAACAAGAAGTTGCAAGGCTCCTGTAGCTTTTCACTTTCATAGCCTTCCTGGCCAGTGGAAAATAGAACACTCTTCCACAATAAAGAAATGAGAAGATCTGAACTCATTCCATTTATGATAACTCTTCTACTCATGGTATTGTTAAGTTGTCTCTTTCTTTGTACACACCTTTGGTCCAACTGATCTCTAATAGGAATAAATCTTGGGTGAGCAAAGGCTCAAAATAATCTATAAAATGACCAGAACTGCTAAGAGACCCTGTCAACTATGGTAATGATCTCTGCTATGATTTTGACCCTTTTGACCCAACCATTGATTTTCAAGCTCAAAAAGAGGCCTTGTCCTCGAAAATCACTACAGACTAGCTAGAAAGTGGAAGGCCTCTATGAGTGTGCTCTTTAGTTGCCTTCATCAAAGATCATCTTACCCTGAACTTCATGTGCTTTGAAGCAACCCACTAGTCAGGAGTAAAAGGAGAGGTGTGAATGAGTACTTCCATCCCCAGGGTGAATCTGGCAGTCTTTATAGTTGAAGTGAAGCCATTGTTGGGGAAAAAAAATCCCAGAATTTTCCTCCTAGTACTGCCATCTCTTACCACATTTCCCTTTTGTATTGGTCTCTCTCATTACAGTTGCCTCTCTTTTCTCCTTCCTTTCTCCTGTTGCCTCTATTATCTCTCCTTGGTTCTGTGGTCTTTTTGGTTTTCTTTAGACTACTATCTCTCTCATTCCTTAATCTGGCACAGGTAAGGAAATGAAAGCTAGAGTTCAGGAAGTGGTGAGGCCCTAACCCATAAGGAAGTGTCCTCATCCGTTCACTCATTCATTCAACAAATATTTATTGAGTGTGCATCCTCTCTAGGTCCTACCCTTGTAGAATTTACACTGTTATGGGCAAGAGAGACAAACTAATAAACAAGTAAAATACAAAGTATGTCAAATGATGGTATGTGCTATGGTGCAAAATTAGATATTAAGAAGAATAGAGTGTATTCAGATATAATGAAGGTAATTTGTAATTTTGAGTGTTCAGGGAAGTTCTTAATGAGATGATAACATTTGAGGAAAGACCTAAAGGAAGAGTAGGTCATGTAAATATCTAGAGGAGCTTCTGAGGAAGGGAGCACTAGGAGCAGAGAACTAGAAAGAGGCATGTATTTAGCATTTAAAGAACAGAAGAAAGGCCAGTAAGGCTGAAGTAAATAAACAAGGAAAGAATAAGAGATGAGTCAGAGATTTAATCAAAGAAGCTGAGATCTTGAAGACCAGTGTAATAACATTGGCCTTTACTTTGAGGTTGAAAGCTATTAGAAGAATTGGAACAGAAGAATGCCATGATCTGACTTATGTTATAAAAGAGTCACTCTGGCTGCTATGTGGAAAATAGATGATTTTCTATTTTTCCTGAGGAGGGGAAATTACAGACAAGGGCAGAAACAGAAGGATCTGTTAGAAAACTATTGCAATAATCTGGGTGAAAAATAGTGGTGATTCAAACCACAATTGTAGCAATGGAGAGGATGAGAAATGGACAGATCAGGATATATTTTAAAAGTAGAGATAACAGGATTTGTTAAGGGATTGGAAGTGAACAAGTGGCCCCAAGATTTTTGTTCTGAGCAATTCAAAGGATGGTATTTTCATTTATTGAAATGAAAATGAGCCACATGACGGGAAAGGCAGATTGAGTTGAGGGGGCAGGCAAATACAAAGAGGCTATCAAGAGTTTGGATTTAGAAGTATGAAGTTTGAGATGCTGATTAGATATCTAGATAGAGGTAAAGAAGAGAGACCTGGATATACAAATCTAGAGTTCAGGAAAGAGGTGGTTGTTGTCTCTCAGTCGTGTCTGACTCTTTATGACCCCATGGACTGCAGCACGCCAGGCTTCCACATCCTTCACTACCTCCTGGAGTTTACTCAAACTCATGTCCATTGAATCTATGATGCCATCCAACCATCTCATCCTCTGTCTCCCCCTTCTCCTCCTGCTGTCAGTCTTTCCCAGCATCATGGTCTTTTCTAGTGAATCAGCTCTTCTCATCAGGTGGGCCAAGTATTGGAGCTTCAGCTTCAGCATCAGTCCTTCCACTGAATATTCAGGACTGATTTCCTTTAGGATTAATTAGTTTGCTCTCCTTGCTGTACAAGGGCCTCTCAAGAGTCTTCTCTAGCACCACAGTTTGAAAGCATCAACTATTCGGT